TTGTGAATTACAACTGTTTCATCGGGCATCATTTCCAATTTCACATTTAGCTCTCTTTCGCTGTTCACTGGTGGCAGAATAAAAGACGTCATACCATCGGATTGGAGGAGTAACAATCGTTGACTTTTTCAAATAACTCCAATTTCGCTTTTGCCGAAGGGACTCTCATAGCAGTATTTATCTCCGTCAGACGCACTTTAGCGTAAATAGGCAAACCCGGACGGTAGGTACTATCAATTCCTAGATCCAGTTTTGGAGATGGAATACGACGAATGTTTGCTTGATCGAACTGTGTCACTGCGGAACCCGTATCTGACTCACTGATTGTGACGATGAAACCGACTCTTTGATCCCATTCATAATTCACTTGATCCTGCTCCATCAACGAGTTCATGGGAATGCTCACACTTACGCACCCTGCATTCTCAGGTGTACCGTAAAGACTGCCAGCAACATGAAGACACTGAGCTCCAGGTCTCTTCGAATCTATTCCAGACACGCAGACATCATTTTCAAACAGGGTACCCAGGTTCTGCTGCTGCCTCAAATCCGTTTCAGAACACACACAGATTTGAGCATCGTAGTGTCCACGAAAGGAAACGCCGTTGTTGTATTTGGCACAGACATTAAAGTGTTGCGTCTCGGCACTGATGTCCACCTCATTTGGAACCTGAATGGTGGCCAAGAACCGCGGAAGAACGTTATTCTTCACGTCCACCTGTAGCGTTTTAATGTTGGAGAAGACCTTTGCTACTAGACGCCAAAACCCCTCGGTAACATCCTGCATCAAGGGGAAGGACAAATTGAATGCTGTCGCCTGGGGAACATTCTTCCACTCTTTCACTCGATTTCCATCAGGGTCTTCTATATAGATCAAATCGAATCCCAAAGACTCTTCACGTCTGCGTTTTTCGTCTTCAGCGACCTCAAGAAACGTAGGATTATGGAAATCTCGCATATCATGTTGAAATTCGGGCCACTGGACTCTTTCACTAGTTGGATAAAGTTGCCGTGAATTGAGGGCGACGAAACGAAAGTGGATATTTTCACCAGGTTTGTAGATTGGTTTGTCTGACTCACCCAGAATGATTTCAATCTTCCGAACAAACGAGGCATAAATTACCTGGCTTTTACTCATTGGATCTTGACACACTCCCACGTGCCGGCCTTCTTGTTCCGGTAAGCAGTATTTGTAGGTAACATTGAGGTTTATCAGGCCTCCTTCTTCGGTTACAAACGGCGGACGGAAGTCAATCTCAGCCACATGTACACCGTCAGCACTCATGGTCGAATTTATTTGGTAGGACACTTCCATGGGGAAACCACGCATACCATGCACATAAGATTCGATACTCCGACCGGACAGTGGATGTACGGAACTTAGTTGTAGTCGATTAGGCAGATCAGGAAAGAGCTTTTGTGGGATGGTGAGGGTGACCATCTTATTGGGATTGTATTTAGGGACGACATCATCGTACTGGCCTTTCATTCCCAGAATTTTACGCGGAGGTTTTGAAAGAGTTGGAGGCAGAAATGTTGACGGAGTTGGAAGCGGAGATGGAAACTGAGATGTTGACGGAGGGGGAGGCGGCAGTGGAAGCGAGGTTTCATACCCAACCGGAATATGATAGCCAGGGCGACGCGGAGGGGGACTCGAAAGGGGACACCCATACAGGCATATAAAGAGGCTCAGTATTGACAAGATGAAGAGCGCAGCCCATCCGGGTGGCAAATCACGTCCAACCATGCTTCAAACTGTTTCGTCAATAGTCTTTGTCTTAAATGATCGTACTGCCTCGCCCGATCTTTTATGCATGCTATGATCCTTGTCCGGTTGGTCCGTTTACTCCATCTGGTGTCTCTTAGCAAAATTATTCTGCCTGATTGGATAGCTGTGTTGTCGCCAAGTTTGTCCAATCACGCGGCCTGCGCGACAACTGGTTTTGTATTGAAAATAGTTCATTTAGACCTAATCACAGACGTTTTTCTGTTCCATTTTTTTAGATCCCTTTCCCCGGTTCACCAGGACGGTGTTCAGATAAGAGAGGATTTTTGTTTTAAATTACATTTCACGGACGAGGTTAATAGGGCTGGCTTGGGATTAGATGTGAAATTCACCGAGAGGGATGATAGTGGTGGTTTAAAGGACATGCAAACGCTATAAAATCGCTCAACGTCACGTTATTGTTCATCTGAACTTCAAATCCCAGGATCGGAAACCAGGAAGGATTGAAGCGGCTGCAAATTGAACTCCTCTTTTACTTTCATTTGAATTTCACTGAAAATGTTCTCAGGTACAAAACGCATTCCGGCCCCAGAAGACCTGCGAGCTGTCAATTTGCATATGTTCGACTGTTTCTCGCGTAACTTGTACGCGTTTGCGTTTGTAACGATACTTGAATCGCCTTATTTTTAGCAATATAAACTGACTCTAATCCAGACCCATCAGCCCAGCGTGTGTTGTGTTTTTATTGGCTGATCCGTAGACCGGGCGTCAGGCGGTGTTGGACGATTCCCACGCCATGCCACGCCGTGCCGCATAGCAGCGTAGGCAGATTGGTAATCGATATCGTGAAGTTCTCTACGGTCG